TGGTTTGACGTTTTTCATGCCAGCAAACCTTCTCCAATATTCCCAATGGTCAAACAGTAGTAAAAATGTAATGAAGATGGAGACTACCCCAGCTTGTCTCTGATTAAATGCATGTAGATACTGAATTTTGTCAAGTTTTTACCAGATTGACTGCAGCAGATGATATAGTATCAATGTCTTATAATATGTGTTATGTATATGCTTTTTGTAAACATCTTTTCCCTACATTTTTTTAGTATAAGAACTCAACTGAATTAGCTATTACGAAAGAGAGAATGTCAATCATGTGGTTTATTATTTCATTGAGATTGATGGTGTCTGTCAGATTTAGGAAAATGAGATCAAACACTGTTCTGATTTTATGACAGATTTTCATTTTTTAGGAATTAATTTGTGGAATAGAATGCACATTGTTGCTCTGGATTTGGTTTTGAACTGTGCTCTTATTTGTAGTATCTTATGCATAGATTGAGTGCTCGAGAAAAATTTAGGTCACTGATTCATGAAGTATGAAATGTTCTCTTGCATTAAAATTGGTACTAGCTGTTCCTAAAGTCGTGTTATGCGTGAACTCCTCATTAACTTTCGCATGAACTACTAATTATGCGATTGCTCTGTTTTAATTTGTAAAAATATTATATCTTCCCTACCATATTAGATCCTTATTTTCAAAGTGAAGTTTCCCCTTCTATTAGCTTTAGTTCTTTGGATTTTACAAATATCAACAGCCTCTGGAAGTCGGTGTACTTAACTATCGTCATCTCTCACACAAGTGAATGCTTAAATTGCACCAGTTGAAGGTGTAAATGTATTGGTGGCCTCTTCAATTTATCGATTAAATTGGTACCGATGAGGATGTCAGATCATGTTAGGGTCCAGTCTTTTAAGTTTTGACCGAGTTCATCTATCTTGCATTTCAGAGAGTGGTCTACATATTTTCGAAGTAAATTCAGTAGTATAATGTAATGATGCAAGTGCAACTAAAGAGATAACATCTGCAGACATGATTTTGCAAAATCATAAAACTCTTAAGAGTTTGAACCGTACCGGAAAGTTTATATGAGTTGAAGAAGGACCCTACTTAAGTCGGCAAGATCATAAGCTCTTACACCTTCTCCTCCATATCAGAACCACCTGCAGTCCAAAATAACAAAGATTCAATGCCAAATCAAAGAAAATCAGTGATGATTTAAACAAAAACCTCTAACTATTGTTGTAGAGAGAATTCATATCAAGATAAACTACATTATTTGATTCGAATTGAATCCAAAAGCAGCAAAAGAAAACGAACAGAGCAAGACAAACCCTAGAAACAAACAGACCAAAATTAAACTCAGCATATCTCTCCGTCTCTTCTTCTCTCAGTGCAGCCCATAACGCTGCTTGCTTTGCTGCACCTCTGTCTGTCTGCAAGATTTCTCCTTCTTTCCCTCTCTCTCTTCTTCTCTATCTGCAGGCCGTACCCTTGTCTGCAACAACACTCCCTCAATCCCATCGAACGAAGCAGACAGTATCCCCAAATCCCAAACATACAATGACAAAAGTACCCCCATAATGTTCTCCCCTGTCCGTCCGATCTGAAATCAAAACGGGTACAAGAGTAACTTTGCTTGTTTCAAGACTGGGCCGTTTGGTCCAGGCCTAGGCCTCTGTCTGGGCCTTTTGAACGCAAGCCGAACCTGGCAAATCCGTAACAAAGCAACTTTTTTTGTAGATAGGCAATTTGGAAAATAAATCAAAATCAGGGTAGTTTTACTTTCGGTTATGAAAAGTGTCAAAATTTCCTCTCAACTTTGGACTATAGTAACTAGCAGAGGATGCACACGCGATGGTGCGGGATTGGAAATTCTATTACAATATTATTTACATACAAAAAATAACATTTGAATGTGTGTACAACTAACTGTACATACTATTTACATATGAAAGGTTAGGCGGATATATATTTACTAAACATTCTAGATGGTGTACCAAGAGATGTTCATTCTTCTCACATTGGGTTGTTGAGGTGCCTCATCTTCTTTCTTGTCTATGTTATCTTCTCTACCATGTTGTTCAAACATAAATGTGTCATGTTCATGAGACTTACGATAAAGAGATATGCAAGATTCGTCGATTACAAACTCAATCATAATACAACGAATAAAATTAGATACACAGTATTACGAACATAATTTCAATCTTCTACTAATTCGACGAAGCATGGAAACGTACAAACAAGTGCAACATATAACCAAAATCATGCACCTTTAACTTCAGGTGCTTGTATCATTAGTAGTTGTCATCATTGTAGTCATTTTACTAACATAATTATCATCACCTCAAGTAATTATGTATGTTTATCAAATTGCCCCTCTCGAGGCCGCTAAGTTTTCCACAAAAGTTTTAGATATCTCATTCCCAACCATACATCCAAATAAACAAAAATTAAAACTCCACAGTACCAATACACACAATCAAAACTCGAACTCGAAAACTCATGTCCAAAGTAATATCAAATGATAGCATTTACTCAATTTTAAGAAGTTGAACAGAGAAAGGTTAAAATAAAACTAATCTGAGTTCGAGATCTAAATACCTGAACAACATCAGTAAAGCTGCATTCTTCATTTTCAAGTAAATGGTGTCACATATGGTGTGTTAAGTGTACATTTTGACAAGGATAATGGGATAAGACCGAGTGTGCTTTTCCAACTGGATTACAACAATTATTGCATATACTAACCTTAGGTATGTATGGTTTCAGCTTAAACCTTGTATTTCTTTATGCATCATCCCCCTTGCAAAAAATATGTAACTACGGTCATCTTTGTGTCAATTCAATGTTTTTTGTTAGCCCCATATGTAATGGAACCAGGTCATGAAGGAAAGTTATAACTTCAACATGCCTACTAACCAAATGAGACCTATGCCTATTCGTCATTGACATGTATAAATAGACTATAAAACCCCAACCAACATATAGCAACTACATATTGATTAACAAATAGCAAGAAATCAAATCTTACATACTGTTATGTATCGCACTGAAAATTTTATCATCGTATTAAGTGTATAATTATAAACCAATTCTGTTGATTTTGAGACCCCGGTCTGTATTCTACCGAATAGTTAAGTGTATAATTATAAAATGAAAATTTTATCATTTTGAGACCCTGGTCTGTATTCTACTGAATAGTTATACCCCAAAAGTTTGACAAGCCAATTCTGTTGATGTGGAGTTGTAATACGTTGCTCGAGAAAGTACTTGATTGGCTTGTGATCTGTAATGATGCAAAATTGTTGGCCTAGCATATATGGTCTCCAATGTTGGACGGCAAAGACAATAGCTAACAGCTCTTTGTCGTAAGTGGAGAGAACAAGATTTCGTTATGATAAAGCTTTACTAAGGTAAGCGATGCGGTGGCTTTCCTAGCATAACATGGCCTCTATGCCGATATTTAAAAAAATATATTTAATTATAGGCCCAATTGTGATTTGTTCAAAGATGGGCGTTGGGATGTGGTTTTTATAAGCATGTTTGGTTACTCAAATCTCTCCCACAGCCCATGTGGGACTCTCCCACCCACTTCCATTTTTCTTTTTTTCTACTTCCTTTCCCACAGCTGATGTGGGACTCTCCCACCCACTTCTTTTTTTTTTTTTTACTCTAAATAAAACCTCTCACATTTGACTTGAAATATATAAGTTGTATTTTTTAAATTTTACTTGTAGTTATTAAATTTAAGTTGTATTTTTTTAATTTTAGTTGTAGTTTTTAAATTTAAGTTGTTATAGTTTTTAAACTTAAATAATAAATTATGTTTGGTCATTTGACCCTCGATTGGAAACGATTTTTTGTGACAGGGCTACAACAAGCTCTATGGCCCTCGATTGGAGATGGAGACAAATATGACAATGTACTGTTCATTAAAATATTAATATCTTGGAGGGCTAGATGGCTCATTTTAGCTCTATGACCCTTCAAAATATTAATATTTTAATGAACAGTACATGGTCATATTTGCCTCCATCTCCAACCGAGAGCCAAACATAATTTATTATTTAAAAACTACAACTTAAATTCAAATCTAACAGCTAAGTGACGTCAGCTAGCCGTTAGTAGCTGACATCATGCTGACACATATATTCCAACACTCCCCATTTGTCGTTCTCTATCTATATTTCTCACTCACCCCTTTGACATGTATATTCCACTAGCAAATTAAATTACATAATTAATGCATTGAAATCATAAATTCCACTTTTTCATCTTAAAAGTATGGATCATATAGTTTAATTTGCTATTGAAATACACATGTCAACTGAGATTGGAAAAGTCAAATAAAGAAGGTAACTAGTATTTTTCAACAAATAAATAGATAAAATGGCAAAGGTTACATAATATTTTGGTCGACCTTTGTGGTGATTGGGTTGGCTTGCATGTGCAGCAAAAGAGAAGGGGACTCAAGGGAACGGACAACCTCGACAGTGATTCCGAGTAGCCAGTAGCCACCTTATTATTTTAATTCCCCTAAATTGTATAATTATTCAAAATTATTATAGAAAAGAAAAACAAAAAGTGTGAGAAATTCAAAAATCAAATACTGTTACCCGGGTCAGGGGGTAAGGGCCCATTCACCAACCCTTTCGTTGTCCACGTGCCCTTTCTTCGTAAGACACAGTGGTCCTGCCGTTAATGTCGATGTTGATGGTTTTAAATTTATTGGTTCGTGGCATCGATTAATTGATGTTGGCTATAAATAGTTTTTGGTGTTTTTTCATGCAAATCACGTGTGCAAAGCACGCTTCTATAATTCTCCCTTCAATAATTCATTCGTGTAAAACGTGCAGGAAGGTGAATTAGACCCAAGTCACCCTGAAAGGACTTTGCCAACTTGCGGAGGACTTGGAATTTTCGACGCCACCGATTTCCTAGCAAGCTTCAACTTCTTATATATTGACTTGTATGCTCACCTCAGTAGCCAGCCATCTGCAACAAAAAGAAAAACTTGGTAAAAATGGATAGTTTCCATGCTTGCTTATTCAACCCTACTTTTCACCTTAACATTTTGCCCTTTCTGGTTTTGGCCTTTTCATATCTTTCTGTCACTGCGAAATCATGCATCGAGGAAGAGAGAGGAGCACTTCTCAGCTTTAAACAACACCTCACCGATCCGTCCGGTAGGCTTTCTTCTTGGGTCGGTCACGATTGCTGTCAATGGGAAGGGATTTCGTGCGACAACCGCACTGGTCACGCTACAAAAATTGACCTCCGTAATACTTATCCAGGTCGGTTGGGAGGTGATGAAGAGTGGGACGAGTCAGCTTATGAAGGGTCTTGGTTGGCAGGTAAGGTAGCTTCATCCTTGCTTATCTTGAAACATTTGAGCTACCTAGACCTGAGTTACAATAATTTCCAAGGGATTCACATTGTTTGTCAACTTCGAACTTTGAGATATCTCAACTTGTCATCTGCATCATCTGGGGGAGAATCTGAATTTCCCAAAAGCATTTTCAACCTTTCTAACCTCAAAACACTTGACCTAAGTGGAAATTCTTTCACCGGTCGTTTTCCTCCCCAACTTGCAAGCCTCGAATCTCTGAAACACCTTGATTTATCTGAGAATCACCTCAAAGGTAGAATTCCCAAACTCCTTGGACACCTTTGCAAACTAAAGACCTTAAACCTCGCTGTCAATGAATTTGATGGGGGGATTCAAGAGCTTTTGAGTGGTTTCTCAAATTGCACAAATAACAGATTAGAGTCACTAGATTTGTCTTTCAATGAGTTTGCAACAGAATTGTCTGACTCCTTAAGAGTTCCAACAAACTTGCAGTACCTTGACCTCGAAGCCAACTGGTTTTGGGGCTCTTTTCCAACTTCTTTTGGAAACTTGTCATCCTTGAAAAGTCTTAACCTTATGGGCAATAACATGAGCGGATCTATTCCCGAAAGTTTAGGCCAACTCTCTGAGCTAGTTGACCTAGATTTGTCTGAGAATTCTTGGGAAGGCATTTTAACAGAAACTCATTTGATAAATCTCACAAGACTGCGATCTATTGTTCTGTCCACGGATGGAGCTATGCCGCTCATTTTCAATGTGAGTCATGAGTGGGTTCCCCCCTTCCAGCTCCACAAAATTTCCATTATAAATTGTAGTGTAGGTCCTGACTTTCCTGTATGGCTTCAATCTCAGACTGAGCTGCTTGATGTCACCCTTAGTAGCACCAGAATCTCAGATTCTATACCAGAAGAATGGTTCTTGAACTTATCTTCCAAAGTTGAAAATTTGGATTTATCTCACAACCAAATCCGTGCAAAGCTTCAATCCCAACTCAAATTTCCAAATTTATATTATATGGATTTGAGTCATAATCAATTTGAAGGTCCACTCCCTCTTTTATCTTCTGATGCCCATGTCCTACATCTCAAAAGTAATAGTTTTTCCTTCAAATTTCTGATGCCAATTCCTTCAAATTTCGGACAACTGATGCCCAAATTATCATATTTGAATCTTGCGGAGAATCACTTGAATGGTACAATTCCATCCTCTCTATGCATCATGCAAACCTTGCTACACCTGTCCCTAAGGAGCAATCAGTTATACGGAGAATTCCCGGAAGCATGGAGTGTGTGGCAAAATATAATGGTTGTTGATGTGGCAGACAATAACCTCTCTGGTAATATTCCGAGTTCAGCAGGTGTCCCGAGTTCTCTACGTATATTGAAGATGAACAACAACAATTTTGGCGGGAAAATTCCTTTCGAGTTGAAAAATGCAACTTCTTTGAGCAGTATAGATCTTGGAGGCAACAAATTTACCGGAGGTGTTCCTTTATGGATCGGATCAAACTACTCCAAGTTGTCTACTCTGCGTTTGCACTCCAACTTTTTAAGTGGACATATCCCGCGCAATCTTTGCAATCTTCCCTACCTTCACATCCTGGACCTTGGCCATAACAATCTTTCAGGGACTATTCCCAAGTGTTTGAAGAATTTGACTGCTTTGACTTTCTTTCCATATAATAATTATACAGTGCCTTCATATGATGAGGTGCAAACAACAGTCACGACGAAAGGAAGCGAACTCGTTTATTACGAGACTGCTTTGAGATGGGTGTATAGCATTGATCTTTCATCAAATAATTTAGAAGGCGAAATTCCGGAAGAAATGACCAGCCTCATTGCATTGGGGACCTTGAACTTGTCAAGAAATCAGTTAAGGGGAAACATTCCCTCAACTATTGGAAATTTGCGTTGGTTGGAAACTCTTGATCTCTCACACAATCGCCTTTCGGGACAAATTCCACAAAGTTACTCCTCTTTATCGCTCTTGGCTCATGTGAACTTGTCTTTCAACAACTTGGCCGGAAGAATTCCGTCGGGCAACCAACTTCAGACGCTCGAGGACCCATCCATTTATGAAGGCAATTCATTACTCTGTGGGGTTCCTCTTTTAACCAAGTGTCCGGGAGATGAAACACCGCCTTTTCGCCCTAGTGATGCAGGAGATAATAAAGATGAAGATGATAACGGAAGGCTTTGGCTCTATGTCAGTATCACACTCGGCTTCATCATAGGTTTTTGGGGAGTTTGTGGCACATTAATCGTAAAGAAGTCATGGAGATATGCCTATTTTCGTTTCTTTGATGATATGAAAGATAAAGTAGCATTAGCAATTGTATTGAAAGTGGCTCGGTTGCAAAGAAAAATTTGATTCAAAAAAATGTACTGAACTCATATAGTATTCTTACCATGCGTAATGCTTTCTGTCGGTCTTTATAATGTGTAATAGGCTACTAGGACACGATGTGTTCTGTTTTAAGTACTTCAGTTGTTTGCTTTGATTAAGATTTAACTTCAATTGTTTGTCTGAAGTTTGAAATTCAAATTTGATGCAGATAAAAATAATAATGGTCTAACAACAGTTGCCTTCAAGGACTTAATTAGCTATTCAAACAAAACAAAAATGTGGATTTACAAAACGCTGAATAACTTTACAAAGGAACATGTCTTGTGTAACATATATCCAAATCAAATCTGAGCCACTCCCAAAACCTGGAGATCTGGATGAGTGCCAGCCTCCCCCGACCTTGGCAGATTCCGATTAGGCACAAAACCAGTAACATCTTACGAGCACCTCGTGGCAATAATGGATCCAGACTTCTAACATTGGATAGTCCTAGTATCGGACTTGAAGTATCTGAAATTGGATCAGAACCATCCAAATTTGGAGTTAAACTATGAGAAATAATATTGTCCAAACTAATCGATAATGTTTTCACGTGTTAATATCGTTCCATACTTTTAATTTCTACACATATCAATTATTAAAACAAAAAAATCATCAGTTAATGAACAAATGTGTGTGTGTGTGTGTTACTTTAGTATAAAGTAGGGGGAGGATGGCACTGTGCAATTTTGGGTTGATTTCATTTTATTTACGTACATGCCACTGGTTTAAAAGAATGGCCTTCGTGTGTTTGGGCTACTGGAGTTTGTTTGCTCATCATCCCACCCCTCCCTCTCTCCTCCCAGCTTTCCTAGTCTCTGTCGGTGACTCGAGTAAATTGATAGCAACCAAAAAGATATAATAAAAAAACTAACCACAAAGTAATTTAATAAATTTTTATATATAAAGGATCATATCAAAATGGAAAATTCGTCTGCCATTAACACTTTATTTACGAGAGGCTGAATCGCCAAAATGATGTTTGAAATTTGCATAATAAATCACTTTGGTCATTGATATTTCAAATCAATAGAAGTGGTCCATGAGATTGTCCACCATCCATCATTTTGGTCATTCCGGAGCTCTTGCCCGGAAGTTTGGGCAATTTTCAAGGTTTTGTAACTCAATTGTTTCTTAACCAAATTTGATCCATAATATATCAAAATGAAGATAGGAAAGTGTAGAATAAGATTAAACCTATTTGGAAGCCCAATGGTTTCCGGAGATGGCCGAAAAATAGCCTCAAAGTTGACTGGTCCGAGGGAAAACCAGAAAACTCGCCGGAAACTTGGTAAACTTTAAACGTTCATAACTTCTTCAATATTCAACAAAATCAAGTGACTGAAAAACAAAAAGCATACTTCTCGAGGAGACGAAGAGAATGGTTTGGCCGGAAAATGACTCGAAAGTGGCTATCTTGGTCTTGAGTTAGCCGTCAAAAAAGGTATTATTCTCTCCGTCTCATCGATAAGTATGATTTTCGTTTTTGAATCACTTGATTTTGTTGAATATTGAAGAAGTTATGAACGTTTAAAGTTTACCCAATTTCCAACCAGTTTACCAATTTTCCCTCGGACCAGTCAATTTTGAGGCTATTTTCCGATCATCTCTGGCAACCATTGGGCTTCCAAATAGATATAATCTTATTCTACACTTTCTTATCTTCATTTTGATATATTATGGGTCGAATTTGGTTAAGAAAGGATTGAGTTACGAAACTTTAAAAATTGTCCAAACTTCCGACCAAGAACTTCGAGACACTTAACGGAATAACCAAAATAATGGATGGTGGATAATCTCATGAATTACTTCTATTGATTTGAAATCTAAGGACTAAAATATTGTATTATATAAATCTCAAAGACCATTTTAACGATTTAGCCTTTACAAGACTACCACTACCCTGCCTCTTCCTCACTTCTTCCTATTATTTCTGCAGTTTGTGGCTATGCAGGGAAAAAGACAAAGTTTATGGAATGGTGCATGGGCACCAACTGAAAAGAAGGAATGGAAAAAAAAATAAAAAATAAAAAGGATGGTGCATTTGAAAAGGCGAAAGAAAAAATAATAAAAGGGAAGAGGCGCATCGACGGTGCATCACCACAGAAATAAGAGTAATGTTATTCATATCATATTTTTATATCATATTTTCATACCATCTTAAATAACATTTGATGTAGACAACCACATCATTTGAATTAATCAAATTTTTAAATTTAGTTCATTATTTAATAAACTAATAATTAAAAAAAACTAGTTAATTAAATAATGATTATGGTATACGATGAGTCTTTCTCCTTCTTCTTCTTGGGTTTTGCAAATTTTTCAAATAATGTGACTGTTCATATCAAATGCTACTTAAGATGGTATAAAAAAATGGTAAGAATATTATTACTATAGAAATAGTAGTAAAATATAATAAATAAAATAAAAAGGAGAAATGGGGACAAATGTTTCTGGAGCCATGTGGATGAAAGTCTTCATGTAAACAATAGAGACTTGAATTATCAGTCTTAAAGTCTTCATGTGCACAGTGATGTTACAACAGGTTTTTCATCTGACAATTACAAGAAGCAAACTAACCTTATTTACAAAGTCTTCATGTAAATAGTAAACAATTGAATTATCAGGCTTAAAGTCTTCATGTGCACAGTAATATTTGCAATTATCAGCCTTCAAATTCTGCATTTGGGCCATCCACCATATTTATAACATTAAAAATTAAAAACAATATAGACAATCATTGAAGAGGACATTAGTCTAATTCAAATGATCAGTTCTTTTATTTCAGAGCAGTATTCTAGTGTTGTAATCGTCTGCTCTCTCTCTCCGCCGCGACCGCCGCGACCGCCGCCAGCCATGCCTCCTGTCATCTAACTATCTATCCTCTCCAAACCACCACCGATTTAATCCCGAGGTATACACTTTTTGGTTTTTCATTTTCATTTTAATTTTTATTTGTTTGATCGGTAAAGGGTTTTGTATTTATTGTATTACTAGGAGAAATAACCTCAAAGAGATGAGATTTTGTATTTGATTTCTGAGTATTTGTTGTTTTTGTATAAGAATCACTATTTGGATTAATTGTTGATTTTCAACCTTTTGTCTTTGTTCTTAATATTTTTGAGTTCCAGATGTTAAATACCAGGTTTTTTTCTTTTAGCATCTTATGAATTTTATGAATTACAGATTCTGCAGTATTTTCCAAGTAGGTGGAAACAAGCACAAGGGAAAACTTTATCTGCATATTCATATATTTTATTTCCTTCAGTTATCCTTGCATTTTATAACGGTACTCTGTTGTGTACTTTGATTGTGAATTTCGATGTTATATATAGTTTCATAACAGTACTCTGTTGTGTACTTTCTGTTTTGTTGGGGTCTTCGTTCAAATTCAAGCTGTAGTAACGTTGTATGCCAAAGGTGCTTATAGAGATGATTAAAGGTTAAATGCTTATGATGTTGTTTTTACCCTTCCAACTTCGTTTGTTTCTCCCTTTTTTTTTTCCCTTCGTGTTATTGGTACATACAAGTGTGTCTTTTCTTATTGTTGCACTTTCAAATTCTTATTGTTGCACTTTCAAATTCTTAGAAAACACTGATGGGGAGATTCTACATAAATTATGTAAATAGATTCTACATATCTGCACACAATACTTACAACACATGGTTATAGTATCGTGCAGAATCTGGACCTGAAAAGTGATGGCATAGGTGTTCTGCTGGATTGATGACCGTAATCAAGGTATCAGTTAAGCTTTTATTGTGACTGGTAAATTTTGAATAACTGCTGGTTAAAATTCCCAAATGTATGCAATCCCACATTCCAATTTGTTGTGTGAAGACAAATATCATGCCGAAATGATTAGTCATATGGAAATGCTAAGATCGCAAAATTTCTTTTCGTATCAAACTATTAGGAATGCAAATCTCACCATCTGAAGTTTTTCGTTGACATAATGTTGATCCACACTGCATGTTTCATTGCTTTCAAATCTCACCTGTTGTTGCTTGCTTTCAACTTGGCAACAAACCAAACTCATTTGTGGGTTGGTTTATTTGTAATGTTGTATGATGAGGTGGTCGTTTCTGTCTATACATGTTTCTGTTTAGTCTATTCTATCCGTTCGATGCACTGCACTACCAGCGGAAGTGCAACATTCATGAACTATTTTATTTCAATTCCTCCTCCTTAAACATGAGAGGGCATACTAGCATAAGCTGTTTGGCACAAGATTATTTAAAAGTTATGTAATCGACTCATTTTTCGTGTCATTTCATGTTGGTTGGGTGAAGTTTATTTGGAGTGTTATGAACCTATAATTATGTTATTTGAATTGCAGTATATAAACTTGGTTATTTACTTCTCACGCCATTGAGGCACAAAAATTGTTCATGCATTGAGTTCTTTATATCAAAATTGAACAAATTTAATTTTCCTTTATAATCAAATGCATTGAAGTAATTGTGAGTTGTATGACATGACTGTTCAATTATGGCCTTGGCCGAGGCCCCTTGCAGTTTACTAAACATTTCATCTATGCCTTAAGCTTTCATATTCTTTGTTAGGCCAAATTAGTTGTGTTGGATTCAAAATATTTCTAATTTTTTTTTCGGTGTGCTTTTGGTCTTTTAACTAAAATTTCATTAGATTTGGTTTTCGAATTTGAAAGTCTGTAAGTTGCTAACAAATTTACTTTGTTTGCAAATATCAGAAATTTGGATTGTTGGAGGAAGAAGTTGGTTCCTTGCCAATTTGAGGTATATAATTATACGCCCTCATTTTTATTCAAAGCCTAATTAGTTATCGACCTTTTTTTATTTATCTTTGTGAAGCTTTCATGCTTGATTTTAAATATATAATTCAATTTTCTTTGTTTGAGCTTAGAATGGAAATGGGCTTCTTTCTATTTTGTGCACGTATCTGTATGTGTCCATTTATGTAAAGCTTGAGATAACTAAGGATATATTTCTATCAAACCCCATTCCAATTGAATGGTTGGTGTATTTGTTCTAGATAACATTCGAATTGGATGATTGGTTTATTTGTTCTAAACTCCATTAGAATTGTATTTGTATTTCTGCCGTTTATAGATGATTGGTGTAGCTGCTATGATTGTCAGATTGTGTAATGTTGGTTATTGCTTAACTGAGCGAATAAAGTTAGCAAAAAAGTAGATGCTATGTCAATGTATGTGAATGGGGAGTGTAGTTATGAAATATATGATTACATTGATCAGGGATAATGAGTGTCACAGAGTCCTAACTGAGCAATTTATGTCGTGACTCGGTGTAGATGCTGCGCTTTGAATTTGGTGAGTTTTTTGGGGCAAGGGTTTTCAAGTTTTTTGGTTGAATTTTTCTTGCTTCGTTTTATTTTTTTTGATGTACAAGAGTAGAAACCTTCCGTACAGAAGCTTCACATCCTCCCTCAACAATTTGTGTGTCTTTCTATCGAAATTATTCATGTCTTCCTATATTAGGGTTTCAAAAACGATTTCGATATTGTCAGGTTTCCCTGAACAGATTTAATGAAAATGTTTTCCAGCATCAACGGAATCAGACATAGTGAATGCAAACTTTAATCTTCGGATTTTCTCATTGTTGCAATATGTGATAATCTATTTAATCCTGTTAGCCTGCTCTTTGATCAACTAAGAGTGTCTTAGCTGTTATATGCTTTCTTATTGTTAAATCGGTTGTGATTCTATATGATTCGTGTTTCTGAGTGTAAAATTGTTTATGCAATCTTACTTTCGCACTCATAACAAAGTCTCAAGCCAAAAATTTGCCTTTCGCATGCGTGCCTGCATAACATCCGTCATACCAGTGTTTGCTAAACTACTATTTATGTTTTTTGCTATAGTGCGGAAGATGTCCGTCCACATAAAAAATGAATGACCGTAGTCTCCTTTATCAGTTGCTACAAAGGCGTTCTCCATGTTTTTGCCTTTGAACATATCTGCTTGAAAACTTCCTTGCTGAAACGACAACAGAATAGTTTTTATGCTTTTTCTTAACTGCTAAAATAGGTGCTTGGCCTGCAGGACATGTATTTTGCCACCTTAACTACAAGGGCAAAATATGTGTGGGCTGCATCTTGCTTCTGTTTCTTCAGTGTCTTACGGAAACAAGCATCTTGCATCTTTTTTGCTTTGAACATTAATGCTTGAAAGATTAGTTGTTGAAACAAGAACGCATTTTTATGCCTTTTTTGTCTAACTGCTAAAATATTTTGCCATCTTAACTTGAAAAGCAATATATGTGTAAAATGCACGTTGCTTCTGTTTCTCAGCATTTTTTGCAACCATATCTTTTGTAATCAGGTCTGTTCAATGTATATAAAAGCCAAACTGTTTATCTTACCAACACCGTTCACTCATCTATCCTTTTTGTTCGTTTATGATTATGTTGCATTTTTTTTTAGGTTAAATGTGTCTTATTCATGTGGTTAAGGTGTGCATTCAAGTCTCGCAGCAACACATGAGCATTTTTACTAGTATTAACTAACACATGATCAAATCAAATAGTAAAAAAATCATAAATTACAATCTAATAAGCATATAGCAGTAACTATAATCTATTAGAAATTCAAAAAATTTCATCCATTATACATCTATTTCAATAGCATCCTGTATTATTAATTTGGGCTAATTAGAAAGCTTAGTTAAATTTAAAAATTAGGACATTATCAAAAATGAAAAATAGAAATTAAGAAATTCGGTGGTGGTGGACAGGAGAGAGGTGGAGAAGGTGGTGGATCCGTGGAGGGTTGGTAGGTTGTGGATGGAAGGAAAAAGGGCATTGGGAATAGGAGGAAAAAGAGACGTGGGCTTTCGGCATTACTAGAAAAATGTCCGCTCTCTGTATCGGATTTTCAAACTATAATAACCAACAACAGCTATAAATAATATCCACAACAAAATTCACTCAAAAGGTTGCAACAATACAATCGCATTCTCAAATGCAGTAATTAGACAAAGCATATTTTACTTGAGTAATTCCCACAAAACCACAAATTAATATAGTCATCTCCAAATAATTGAAAAACCAAGAAATAGGTGGATCAATGCGATAAAATAAGCAGTTCAGTTTGCATCAATATTCTATCAAGTTGACATATAAAATCAATATACAAACAAAATGGCGAATTCGGAAGTATATGTTCACCAAAGTTGCAATGGCTCCAGTTCGCTTATATGTTTGAGTGTCAGTGAGGATTTTGATGATTTAGAAGATGCACCTCAGATTGATCGATGGGACAAAGTCTCTTCCATTAACCGGCATGTTTATTTAACCTAAACCTTATTGTTTTTCTTTTGGTTCTTAAAAAAAAAAAAAAAAAAAAACATGAAAATGATGAAGCTGATCATTCCAATTGTAATTGGGATAAAATATTCTTCACTTTTTTTTTTTCCAAAGCTTTTCAATAAAGAAGAGTCTGTTTGTATGGTTAGAGGTTTTTCATGCCAGCAAACCTTCTCTAATATTCCCAACGGTCAAACAGTAGTAAAAATGTAATGAAGATGGAGACTACCACAGCTTGTCTCTGATTAAATACATGTAGATACTGAATTTAGTCAAGTTTTTACCGGATTGACTACAGCAGATGATACTTAGTATCAATGTCTTACAATACATTTTTTAGTATAAGAACTCAACTGAATTTGCTATTTCGAAAGAGAGAATGTCAATAAAGTGATTTATTATTTCGTTGAGATTGATGGTGTCTGTTAGATTTAGGAAGATGAGATCAAACACCGTTCTTATTTTATGACAGATTTTCATTTTTAGGAATTAATTTGTGGAATAGAATGCACATTGTTGCCCTGCATTTGGTTTGAACTGTGCTCTTATTTGTAGTATCTTATGCATAGATTGAGTGCTCGAGAAAAATTTAGGTCACTGATTCATTAAGTATGTAGTGTTCTCTTGCATTAAAATTGGTCCTAGCTGTTCCTAAAGTCGTGTTATGCGTGAACTCCTCATTAACTTTCGCGTGAACTACTAATTATGTGATCGCTTTGTTTTAATTTGTCAAAAATATTATATCTTCCTTACCATATTAGATCCTTATTTTCGAAGTGAAGTTTCTCCTTCTATTAGGGTTAGTTCTTTGGATTTTCCATATATCAACAGCCTCTGGAAGTCGGTGTACTTAACTCTCCTCATCTCTCACACAAGTGAACGTTTAATATTGCATCAGTTGAAGGTGTAAATGTATTGGTGGCGTCATCAATTTATCAATTAAATTGGTACCGCTGAGGATGTCAGATAGATCATGTTATGGTCCAATCTTTTAAGTTTTGACGGAGTTCATCTATCTTGGATTACAGAGAGTGGTCTACATATCTTCTAAGTAGATTCAGTGGCATAGTGTAATAATGTAATGATGCAACTGCAACTAAAGAGATAACATCTGCAGACATGATTTTGCAAAATCATAAAACTCTTAAGAGTTTGAACCGTACCGGAAAGTTTATATGAGTTGAAGAAGGACCCTACTTAGGTCGGCAAGATCATAAGCTCTTGCAGCTTCTCCTCCATATCAGAACCACCTGCAGTCCAAATTAACAAAGATTCAATGCCAAATCAAAGAACAAATCGGCGATAATTTAAACAAAAACCCCTAATTATTGTTGTAGAGAGAATTCATATCAAGATAAACTACATTATTTGATTCGAATTGAATCCAAAAGCAGCATAAACATGAAAGGTAAAAAATTAAGAAACGGAAAACCAAAATGCCAAAATTAAACTCAACAAATAAGAAAACGAACAGAGCAAGACAAACCCTATAAACGAACAGGCCAAAATTAAACTCAGCATATCTCTCTCTCCTTCTCTCAGTGCAGCCCATACCGCTGCTTGCTTTGCTGCACCTCCGTCTGTCTGCAGGACCTCTCATTCTCTCTTCGTCTCCATGTGCAACAACACTCCCTCAATCCCATCGAATGAAGCAGACAACATGGTCTGCAATCCAATCACAAAACCACCCCCACAATCGTCAACCCTGTCCGTCCGATCTGAAATCCAAACGGGCAAAAGAGTAGTTTTGCTTGTTTCAAGACTGGGACTGGGCCGTTTTGGTCCAGGCCTTTAGGCCTCTGTCTGGGGCCTTTGAATGCAAACCGAACCTGGAAAATCCATAACAAAGCAAATTTTTTGGTACAATGGCAATTTGGTAAATAAATCAAAATCAGGGAATTTGTACTGTAGCTTATGAATAGTGTTAACTAGCAATGCTGCCTGAGCGATGCTGCGGGCGTGAAATTCAACATGTTCAAATGCATTCTTAAGCAGTATCAATTTGAATGCAATTTATCAAAGCACATGTTGCAACATATCTTGTAATTTGTTCAATGTGGAATTATTTTGTGATAAGGTATTGGAAAAACAAAGTTTAAACTTGTTGTAGAACAATATTTCAATCAAATAGATATGGGATCACATTAACCATACACTATTACAATATTGCACAGTTCATTACATTAGCATTTCTAGCCATTAGAATCTCGAAGACATAACTAATCAATGTTATAGAAACTTACCAAGAAATTAACAAAAGGGAATAGACGACCATAAGCTTCATTCGGTTTCATAGCATATCATATTCGTTTAAGAAAACCTCCTTGCAGTTTGTCCTTCAACAAATCCTACTCAAAGTAAATATAACAGTAATAACTCATAGGAGGATAAAGTATAACCATTAAATTAAATTCAATATAACATAAAAAACAATTTGACTACCATACATAATAACTTATAGGGATTTTATGTGGTCTTGCAATCAAAGTGCTTGATAAGAATAATGTGAAAAAAAAAATCTCATCACATTACATATTAAATCGATGGACAAGAGTGGCAAAGGCTAGAAGTATGAAAGATCACCATGGAATGGGTGCTCATGACAATCTTAAAGAATCTATGGGAAAGCGTTATAGCCATTTGTGTAGCAATTTTCATGAAATTGCTTCCTTAGCTGTAGAACATGACAAGTTAACTGTAAGATTCCACATCGCCTAGGGGTGTGAATCCTATAAGCCTTGTATGTATATTCTCATCTTTACCTAGCATGAGGCCTTTGGGACCTCATTGGCTTCGGGTTCTGTAGGAACTTCGAAGTTAAGCGAGTTCGTGCGAGAGCAATTCTAGGATGGGTGACCTACTCGGAAGTTCTCATGTGAGTTCCCAAAAACAAAACCATATGGGCGTGGTTGGGGCCCAAAACGGACAATATCGTGCCACAGTGGAGTCAAGCCCGGGATGTGGTGGGGACTCGGGCCGGGATGTGACAATTTGGTATCAAAGCCAATTCATGGTCCGAGGTGTGCCGACGAGGACTTCGGGCCCTTAAGGGGGTGGATTGTAAGATCCCACATCGCCCAGGGGTGTGGATCATGTAAGCCTTATATGTATATTCTCATATCTACATAGCACGAAACCTTTTTGGAGCTCACTGGCTTCGGGTTCCGTAGGAACTTCGAAGTTAAGCGAGTTCGCGTGAGAGCAATCCCAAGATGGATGACCCAATGGGAAGTTCTCGTGTCAATACCGTGAGGGCGTTGGGGCCCAAAATGGACAATATCGTGCTATGGTAGAGTCAAACCCGGAATGTGATGAGGGCCCGGATCAGGATGTGACATTAACTGAGTATGCACACATTTAATTGAGATACTTAAAGACTTGGAAGAAATAAAGAAAAGCCTTGGTGAAAAAGATTGCGCAAGTGGTGTTCAAAAAGGTTGATTCAACTGGTAAAGAACATGTTGAGATAATGGTTGAGCCCAATAATTGTGAAACAACAATTGTTTGTGGAGTTAAGAGAAAAGCTACAGTCAAACGTCCACGTGGTCGACTGAATGACCCACTTGAACAAAAAAAAGTCACATCCAAGAGTAAAAAAACTCTCGCAAGACGACAAATAGCTATGGAGGTACCTAAATTGTATTCTTTGCATGTACGAAGTGATTAATGTGTTATCTTGCAAATGTATTTTATTGTTGGCAGTATTGTTTGTTGGCAGTATTGTTTTCCAGGGATGTGGCTGTCTGACTTGACAAGGAATCGATATGAGGTCAGGGAGAAGAAATGTGTGAAGAAGGTAATATGCTGCTCTTTCCTGCTGTTTTCCTCTTTTGTCTTTTTCCTCAGTTTTTTTATAAATTTTAAATTTCCACACACCTTCATTAATATGGAAAAGGAAATATATTTTTGCTAGAGAACAAGATCCAACTAGATTTGAGGTCAGGTGTTATATGAAATGGATTCAATGCTATCGTCGTGTTTCAATTAAAAAATGTATCGATATGTGGAAAAAAAAAACTTATACATAATGATCTGTTATTGGATTGTAAGTTTACGTGATGGTAAACACGATACGTATAATTCATTTCTTTATAATTGACATGCTCAAAACTTGGTGATGAATTGTCATTCACTTTTGTTTTCTTAGTGGAGCGAATAATTAGGTGCTTCAAGTGGAGAATAATAATAATAATAATATTTAATGTTGTCTTTTCATGCCAAAAATAATATTATTTCATATAGTGGTGAAAAGTGAAATGCAGCCTGTATTTGATTTATTTATGGAAGTATATTTTGACATTCTATTTTTTAGTGTCAATGACATGATTTTCCTCTGTCTTTTTAGCTAAAATGGTTTATGATATTGTCGTAAGTTTTCATTTTGGTTTTTGAGATTTAAAACTGATAGAAGTGGTTCTTGAAATTTTTCACCGTCAATTATGTTGGTCTTTTAGTGAAAAATCTTTGTTAAATTGAATAAACCACCAGTTCAAGAAGAGAGGTTGATTCGACAAAAATACACTCAATTTAACAATGATATCTCATGGAATGGTGAAGAACCATTTCTATCGATTTTAAATATAAAAAATGAAAGTGAAAAAATTATGTCAATTTATACGCCATTTTGGATCAAAAGCCTTCCTCTTTTGATTTCAAATCTTTAAATGGTAAATGTATTAAATAAAATTATAAATAGTAAACGTCACATAATATTTTGGTCGACCTCTGTGCGTGCATTTGCAGCGAAAGCGAAGGGGACTTAAGGGAATGGACAGCCTCGCCAGTGATTCCGAGTAGCCATCTTACTATTTTATTCCCAAAAATTGTATAATTATTCAAACAAATTACAGAAAAAGAGAAGGAAAAAAAGTGAGACTTGAGGCCCCAAGTTTCAGAAAATCAAAAATCAAATACTGTTACCGGGTCAGGGTGTAAGGGCCCACTCACCGGCCTTTTCGTAGTCCGCCTGCCCTTGCTTTGTAGGACACAATGTTCCTACCGTCGATGTCGATGGTGGTTTTGTCATTTTGATGATCAACGGCTGAGATGTTCTTTGGGCAATCAGCGGTTGTTGTGAGATTTTGGACTTTATGGTGGGGGCATTTTGGTCAGCAGAGGTCACTGATTGAGAAAGTGAGAAGCAAGCGTATGCACAGGGATAATTAAAGGGCAGGTTTCAGCCTCATGACTCGGTCTGAGTCGTCTGACTCTGGACGCCACCCAACTCGGCGATTAGATAAAATTAATATTAACTAGAATTTTCTTTTTCTTTGTCAATGGTGTTTTTTATTTATTTTTCATTTAAATTTATTGCTTTCTGACATCGATTAATTAATGTTGGCTACAAATATCTTTTGGCCTTTTTTCACTTCTCTCTTTGTTACTGATTCCTCATAAAACACAAAATTTTGCTACGCTTCGATGTATGTTTTGCGCGCCATTAGTAAAACATTGTGCTGAAGAGAATTAGAGCATACTAAAAACAATGTGCGGACTTTTGATATAAATATTTTTTAAACCAATCTTTAATAAAAATACAAATGTTGAATAAGTACTTCAAGTACTTCCTACCAATTGGTGCTTCTTGTAGAAATCATTTTAAGTGCTATTGAACTCAAAATTATTTTTACTAAAAATGTTTTGAGTTATTTTAAAAACACTTCCAAACGATTGCTCGTGCACACCAAAACACAAAAACATAGGTATTTCTCAACAGTTCACTCGTGAAAAACGGTACGGGAAAGAGAATTAGCCCCAAGTTTACTCAAACTTAGTGGAATTTGCTAACTTGTAGAATGGGCCGAGGACATGGAATTTTCGATCCCATCAATTTCCTAAAGCTTCCGCTTCTTAGCAGAAACATGTCTTACACGCCATGAGTAAAACATTGTGCGGAAGAGAATTAGAGCATACTAAAAACAATGTGCGGACTTTTGATGAAAATGCTTTTGAAATCAATTCTGAATAAAAATACAAAAGTGAATTTTGAAAAAGCGCTTCAAGTGCTTTCTAACAAAAGTACATAACTGGTAATTCTTTCAAGAAGCACTTTAAGTACTTTTGGAACTCAAAATTATTTTCTCTAAAAGTATTTTTCAATCATTTTAAAAGCATTTTCAAGCAAGTGGGGCTTCTACTGCACACCAAAACACGAAAAGCAAAAGTTGAGATTTAATTTAATTTCATTTGGTCAAATCTTAACAGTATTCATGAAAAACGGTGCATGAAAGAGAAATAGATCCAAGTCTATTCAACCTGAGAGGACTTTGCTAACTTGTAGAACGGGCGGAGGATTCAACACAAAATTTTACTATGCTTCGATGTATGTATTGCACGCCATGAATAAAACACTGTGTTGAAGAGAATTAGAGCATCTATTTCAAATTTTTCCTAAAAACAATGTGTGGACTTTTGATTTAAATGTTTTTGGAACCAATCTTGAATAAAATACAAATCTTGAAAAAGTACTTCAAGTGCTTCCTACCAATTGGTCTTTCTTGCAGAAAGTATTTTAAGTGCTTTTGAATTCAAAATCATTTTCTTTAAAAATGTTTTCATTCATTTTAAAAACACTTATAAATGAGTGATGCTGCTCTTGCACATCAAAACACAAAAAGTAAAGGTATTTTTCAACAGTTCACTCGTGAAAAAACGGTGCGGGAAAGAGAATTAGCCCTAAGTCTAGTCAAACGGAGTGGAATTTGCTAACTTGTAGAATGGGCTGAGGACCTGGAATTTTCGATCCCATCGATTTCCTAAAGCTTCAGCTTCTTACCATAAGCATGTCTTACATGCCATGAGTAAAAATTGTGCGGAAGAGAATTAGAGCATACTAAAAACAATGTGCGAACTTTTGATGAAAATATTTTTAAAACTAATTCTTAATAAAAATGCAAAGTGAATTTTAAAAAAACATTTGCAGTGCTTTCTACCAGAAATACATAACTGGGGTTTCTTTCAGGAAACACTTTAAGTGCTTTTGGAACTTAAAATCATTTTCTCTAAAAGTGTTTTTCAATTATTTTAAAAACGTTTCCAAACGAGTGATGTTTTTACTGCACACTAAAACACAAAAAGCAAAGGTTGAGATTTAACTAAATTTCTTTTGGTCAAATTTCAACAATTCATTCGTGAAAAATGGTGCGGGAAAGAGAATTAGAAGTGCTTTTGGAACTAAAAATCATTTTCTCTAAATGTATTTTTCAATCAATTTAAAAGTGTTTCCAAGCGAGTGATGCTTTTACTGCACGCCAAAACATGAAAAGCAAAGGTTGAGATTTAACTAAATTTCGTTTGGGCCGAGGACCTGGAATTTTCGACCTCATCGATTTCCTAGCAAGCTTCAACTTCATAAAAATGGATAGGTTCCATGCTTGCTTATTCAACCCTACTTTTCACCTCAACATTTTGCTCTTTCTCGTTTGATCAAATTTCAACGGCTATAAATAGGGCTTATAATTATAATAAACTTAACCGTTGGATCAAATTTCAACGACTCGAATTCTTGAACTTGATGAATTAAGATGAAGGGATCTGGAAGCCATTTCCAATAGAAGATTTGATCTCAAGGGATTAATGATTTCTTTCCGACACTTTCACAGCTGGTTCCGAGTAGGATTGTTTTTTTTTTTTTTTTTTTTTTTTTTTTTTTGCGTGGGACCAGTCCAGCGTCTAGAACCCGAAACCAAACACTGTGGGCGTGTTTATATATCCGTAATCGGAATGAAAATATGGAATTAAATTCCGATTACGGAGTACTTCGATGTTTACTAAATATGGATGAATCAAAAAAGCAGTGAGGCCTACACAAATTTTGGAATTCAATTCCTTGTATTGGTGGAATTGGATTCCTTAGATATAGGTGGTAATCCAATTCCTGCTTGTTTGGGCAATCGGAATGACACTTTTGTTCCCTTTATGCCCTCACTTACTTTTTTTTATTTCCAAGACTATTCTTTATAAACCCATTAAAGTATATAAAATATTTGATTTGGGATAAGGGCATTTTAGTAATCATACTAGTTTATATTCCGATTTTGCTGAATTAGTAAACAGTTTTTATGGAATTCTATTCGGATTCTAGAACATTTAAGTAAACAGTTTTAACAGGAATCCGATTCTGACTTCCCCTTATTCCAACTCCTTCTTAATTCAATTCATTCTCAATTCAATTCCTTTTATTTTCATTACTGTTACGTAAACGTGCCATGTAAGTCATGAGAACGAAAAGTCCAGGCTCATACTGGTTGGGTCTTTTCATAAGCAGCTTTCCAAAAGGTCTTCCGAGGTAGGTAATGTTAAAAATCCTACATTCGCAAGAGAAGGAAAAAAAGAAGAGTAAATATCTTAACATTACTTTAACGCGGTATCTAAGTCAAACAACAGACGTAAATATCTTACACTTAATAAGTTGGGGACAATATCAATGTTGTTGGAAGTAAATATTTGGTCTGTTTTGATAATTTAACGCGGTATCTAAGTCAAACAACATACGTATACCCCACGTGATGGGTGGGGATTCACCTGGCCCCGCTCGATGATGCGGATCCCTTGGCCTGTGTACCCACAATAATTGTTTATGTAATACAATCAATAATTATTAATCATAACTCCAAAAGTCAAGAAATTGTAAACAATTCGATTACATTTGAGGGGATACAGACTTGCTTTGGCAACCGAAGTCAAGAAAAATGTGCTGAGGATTTGGATAATCTGTGCACGATTGACTTCAATATCTGTCTTTGAGCTGATTGCTGCCTCCCTACAATTTTACTTTGCATGCTTTCAGTAACCATCGGCAGCAAAGAAATCTTCGTACAATGGGTAGCTGCTATCCAAATTTCAATCTTGTTTACTGTTTTCTCTTTCTGTTTACGGTCACTTCCTACATGCGGATGGGTGACGGACTTCCAAGCGGTGTGGACTCATGCATTGAGGAAGAGAGACGAGCACTACTCAGCTTCAAACAAAATGTTACTGATCCTTCGGGAAGGCTTTCTTCTTGGGTAGGACGCGACTGCTGTCAATGGAAAGGAATTTTGTGCAACAACCGCACGGGTCATGTTGCAAAGGTGGACCTTCGGAATACTTATCCATCTCCAGTATGGTCTGATCCCGAAGATCGCTACGACAAGTTGGCTTATGAACGCTCTTTATTGTCGGGTAAGATAAATCCTTCCTTGCTTAGCTTGAAGCATTTAAATTACCTAGATTTGAGCGGGAACAGTTTCGAACTCCCTAAATTCAATGGTCTGCTTGAAAATTTGAGGTATCTTAACCTCTCCTCTGCATTATCATCTGAGGGAGCTGAGATTCCAGAGTTTGTTGGAAACTTGTCGTCTTTGGAAACACTCGATCTTTCGAATAATTATTTCGAAGGGAATCCAATTCCTAAGTCTTTGGGCCAGCTTAAGAGTTTGAATTATCTTGATATCTCCTTCTCAGGTTTTCGGGGAGAAATTCCCCCTAACCTTGGAAACCTGTCAAACCTGAACCATCTTGACCTCGGGTGGAATTACTTGAAAATATCTTCCGAAAGCTTGAATTGGCTTCCTCGCCTCTCTTCCTTAACATACCTCAATCTCGACTTTCTCAATCTTTACAGCGCGGGAGCAAGTTGGCTATCTGCTGTTAACATGCTTCCTTCGCTGTTAGAGTTGCATTTGTTTCTTTGCAGAATTGAAGGGATTCCACTCTCAATCCAAAGGGTAAATATGACTTCACTTTTGGTACTTGATATGTCAATGAATTCTATCTTTTCTCCACTACCTAGCTGGTTTTCTAATCTTACTAGTCTTCGAAAACTCAATCTGAGTGGACAAGATTTCACTGGTCCGATTCCTCGTGAGTTTGCAAGGCTCGAATATCTGGAAGGCCTTGATTTTTCTAGTAATGTACTCGAAGGTCATATTCCCAAACTAAACTTTTGCAAGCTAAAGACATTAAACTTTCAAGGAAACGAATTTGATGGGGGAATTCAAGGGCTTTTGAGTGGTTTCTCAAACTGTACAGAGAGTGTATTGGAATCGCTGGATTTGTCCTCTAATAAGCTGGAAGATGAGTTGCCTGACTCCCTTGGGATGCTACACAACTTGCAATATGTCAACCTCGAGTTCAACAATTTTTCAGGCGAAATCCCAGAATCTATTGGAAAGTTGTCATCCTTGAAAACTCTAAACCTCGAGTTCAACAATTTTTGGGGTAAAATCCCGGAATCTATTGGAAAGTTGTCATCCTTGAAAACTCTAAACCTCAGTTACAACAATATGATTGGACCGATTCCCGATACTTTGGGACAATTGTTCGAGCTAGTTCACCTAGATTTGTACGGGAATTCATGGGATGGCATTTTAACAGAATCTCATTTCACAAATCTCACAAGATTACGATCTATTGATGTGTCTACATATCGACCTATGTCGCTCATTGTCAAACTGAGTCATGAGTGGATTCCTCCTTTCAAGCTCTACACAGTTGGCATTACAAATTGCAGTGTTGGTCCTAAGTTTCCTGCATGGCTTCAGTTGCAAACTGAACTTTCCGATGTCACCCTTCGTAGTACTGGAATCTGGGGTACCATACCAGAAGAGTGGTTGTTGAAGGTATCATTGCAGCTCAAATATTTGGATTTATCATACAATCATATCAGAGGAAGGCTTCCACTCCAACTGAAATGTCCAACTCTATATCATATAGATTTGAGCTATAATCGATTCGATGGTCCACTCCCACTTCTGTCCGCCAATCTTACCATCTTTAATCTTGAAAGCAATTCATTTTCAGGGCCAATTCCTTCGAACATTGACCAATTGATGCCGACATTGCAAGGATTGTATCTTTCTGACAATCAGTTGGAAGGCACAATTCCACCATCCATTTGCAACTTGCAAAGCTTGTCAATCCTTTCTCTGAGAAATAATCATTTATTCGGAGAATTTCCCCAAGAATGGAGTGTGTGGCCCGTAATAGATATTGTCGACGTTGGATACAACAATCTCTCAGGTAATATGCCAAGTTCGATGGGTGTCCCAAGCTCACTTTATGTATTAAAGATGAATGATAACAATCTTGGGGGCACAATTCCTTCTTCTATATGGCGAAACTGCACTTCTTTGAGGAGTATCGATCTTGGAGGGAACAAATTTACAGGAAATATGACTTTATGGATAGGATCAAATGCACCCGACTTGTTTTTCATACGATTGCGATCCAACTTATTAAGCGGACATATCTCCGACCAGTTGTGCAATCTTCAATTTCTTGACATCCTAGACCTTAGTCACAACAACTTCTCAGGGTCCATTCCCAAGTGTTTGAAGAATATGACGTCTTTGGTGGAAGGTTTTTCCAATGCCACTGACTATGAAAGCTATATTGAGCAAGCCACATTGACGTTGAAGGGAAGGGAACTCGTATATAGCAAAACTCTGTTCTTGGTGAAAAGCATCGACCTTTCATCGAATAATTTAGAAGGTGAAATCCCTGAAGAAATAACAAGCCTCATTGCTTTAAGTACCTTAAACTTGTCAAGAAATCAACTGAGGGGAAACATTCCTTTCAAGATCGGAAACTTGCGTTGGCTGGAAACTCTTGATCTCTCACAAAATCACCTTTCAGGACAGATTCCTCAAAGTTTGTCTTCTTTAACCTCCTTATCTCACTTGAACTTGTCTTATAACAACTTGGCTGGAAGGATTCCTTCTGGGAACCAACTCCAGACGCTCGAAGATCCCTCCATTTACAAGGGCAACATTTTACTGTGTGGAGTTCCTCTTTCAACTAAGTGCCCAGGAGATGAGACTTTTACTGCTACAGATGCGAAAGACAGCGATGAAGATGGAAATAATAAGTTGTGGTTCTATGTCAGCATGGTACTGGGTTTCACCGTGGGCTTTTGGGGTGTTTGTGGTACATTGCTTGTGAAGAAGTCATGGAGATATGCTTATTTTCGATTGTTCGATGACATCAAAGATAAGGTAATGCTAGCAATTGCAGTCAAAGTGGCTCGTTTTCAAAGGAAACTTTGATTCGAGAAGAAAATCTCTCAAGATTAAAATACGACAAGCCAAGTGCTAACTACCAAGTTCATGTACTACTTATTTAGTTTTTCTATGGCTATCATGTATGTGTAATGTACTGCAAGCTACTAAATAAATCATGTTTTTCCATATTTTCTTGAAATTTCCAGTAAGTATTCGAATACAAGTTCCATAGAAAGCAAACATCGTGCATATTTCTTTGGGGATATTTGGGAAGAAGTATGAGAAATTACGCGAATTGTAGTGTCTGCAATTTTGTTAAAAAGAGTAAATTAAATTTAATACTGGAACAATGCCTTTGAACCATGAACATATAGTGTGGAGAAATTGAAAGTTGAAATAAGTGGAAGACGACATAGGAAAGAGAAGAAAGTTCAAAGAATATTATGATCAAATTGGAACTCAGTTGAAAGTTCAACAGAAAGATGAGTGGAACTGGAAAATGCACACACAGACCAACTTGAAAGAACGCACCAAAAATGTCAGCCTGGCATGCAGTTCCTTTCTTTTTTTCTGTTTAGATAATTTGCACAAATTTTCCAACAAGAATACAAGTGTTCACATATAAAAAATGCAGATGCCCCCACCAAAAATTCAGTACTCTAGAGAAAGTGGGAAAAAGGCAGAGGAAGGAGAGGTAAGTTCATTGAATGAGAAGCACACAGGAAAATGCACACAGAAAGACCAACTTGAAAAGCGAAATACACAAAAGTGTGAGGGAAATGTTTGAATCCGAGATATAGTGAGTTGAAAATGGCTACATTATCCGACTGCAAGGACAATCCACCATGAGCAAAACTAAATTAGACTTTATTCCTGAATTTCCACACATAATAATTATTTTTTACTACAAAGATTCAGTTATGATTAACTATTAGTGATATGCCATTTACCAAGACTTTAAGTCAATAAGTCCTGATTAGTGCTAATTAAAAATGGTTACTCGTTTCTCTTTCAGAAACCCACCAACCCAACAAAGACTTTGATGCCAAAACTTTACATGGTCGACTCTTATCTGTTTTAATCCCTATTTGCTAATCTAGTCAAATTCAGTGGACTAGCAAGTGGCAAACATGCAAGTGGATTGAACACTTGAAATCCGGCGGCTAATTTCGACCTCTCCATAAAAACTCGGTTCTTATGCTCAGTAGCCATCTGCATTTTGCACCAAACAAAGCAAAGAAAACTTGATTCTTAGGACAATGTCTAGCTTTGCAAATTTATGCAATCCCACCTATCACCTCAATATTGCCCACTGTTTGCTCCTTTTGCTTTTGGCCTCTTCATATCTACACACTCCTAGAGTCTGTCTTGGTGATGCACTTCCAACTGCCAAATGCATCGACCAAGAGAGACGTGCGCTTCTCGCCTTCAAAGAAGATCTCACTGATCATTCCGGCAGGCTTTCTTCTTGGGTCGGTCGCGATTGCTGCCAATGGAAAGGAATTTCGTGTAACAACAACACAGGTCATGTCGAAAAGATGAGTCTCCAGAATCCATACATATATACACTATCGGTCTTTGATGCAGCGCAAGATGAGATGGAGTACTCATCGTTGGGTGGTAAGATAAATCCTTCTTTGCTTAGCTTGAAGCATTTGAATTACTTAGATCTAAGCCGGAATGATTTTCGAGGGATTCACATTCCCGAATTCTTTGGCCAGCTAAAAAATTTGAGGTATCTCAATCTCTCCTCAGCTTCATTTGGAGGAGAGATTCCACCTCATCTTGGTAACTTGTCAAATTTGAACTATCTTGACCTCAGTGAAGAGTCTGACTACTCCTTACTTGAACTACCTTCCGAAAACTTGAATTGGCTTTCTCGTCTCTATTCCCTAAAATACCTCAACCTTGAAGGGTTGGACCTTAGCAACACAAGTTGGCTACATAATGTTAACATGCTTCCCTCCCTACTTGAATTACACTTACCATCATGCCAAATCGAAAGCCTTCCACTCTCACTCAAAAACATTAGCCTCAAATCACTTTTGGTCCTTGATATGTCGTATAATGATTTGAAGTTTCCATTTCCTGATTGGTTTTTCAGTCTTGGTAGCCTCACAAAACTTGATTTAAGTGGGAACTCGTTGATTGGTCCCTTTCCCATTGAACTTGAGAGCCTCAAATCACTTGAACACCTTCATTTATCTTTCAATGAACTTGAAGGTCGAATTCCCATGCTTGAAAATCTTTGCAGTCTAAAGACCTTAAATCTTGCCGGCAACAAATTTGATGGGGGGATTCAAGAGCTGTTCGACGGATTATCAAGTTGTCCCAATAGCAAACTCGAGTCGCTAGATTTGTCTTCTAATATGCTGCAAAGCAATTTGCCGGCGTCTTTGGGGATGCTACGCAATTTGAAGTATCTCAGCCTCTACAACAATCTTATGAATGGGTCTATTCCTGAAAGTTTAGGGCAACTCCCTGAGTTAGTTCATCTCGATCTGTCATTCAACCCGTGGGTAAGCATTTTAACTGAATCCCATTTCATGAACCTCACAAAATTGAAATACTTTGCATTAGGCAGAGTGGATCCATACCCAACTCTACCTATTCACCTCAGTTTCAATGTGTCTTATAATTGGGTACCTCCTTTCATGCTTCACACACTCAACATTGGGTACTGTAAAGTAGGTCCAGCCTTTGGGGTATGGCTTCAATCTCAAACTGAACTAGTCTTTGTCAAACTTAAGGGTACTGGGATCTCCGATTCTATACCAAAGCACTGGTTCTTGAAACTATCTTCCAAGGTCGAATATTTGGATTTATCTTACAACCAAATCACTGGAAACCTTCCATTGGAATTGAATTTTCGGAATACTCTAATTTTGGATGTGAGTAACAATCGAATTGATGGGCCATTCCCACTTTGGTCTGGTAACCACGTGATCCGCCTTGAGCTTAAAATGAATTCATTTTTCGGGCACATTCCTTCAAATTTGGACGAAAGGTTTCCAAAACTGGTGGCATTGTATCTCGCGGAGAATCGCTTGAATGGTACTATTCCAAGCTCCATTTGCAACATGCAAAACTTGCTAGTCCTTTCGCTGAGAAACAATGAGTTATCAGGAGAATTTCCTCAAACATGGAGTCAGTTGCATGAGATCTTGGTCATAGATGCTGCACACAACAATCTCTCAGGCAAACTTCCTAGTTCGATTGGTGTCCCGGGCGCTCTTTTCGGGTTGAAGCTGAACAACAACAACTTCGATGGTGAAATTCCTCTTTCCTTGCAAAATTGCACTTCTCTGAGGCATATTGATCTCGGAGATAACAAATTCACTGGAAAAATACCTTCATGGATAGGATCAAAGTGCCACTGGTATCGATCTTACGACTGCGGTCCAATTTTTTCAGCGGAGAAGTCCCCCAACAGTTGTGCAATCTTGGCTACCTTCATATCCTAGACCTTGCACACAACAACTTTTCAGGGACTATTCCTAAGTGCTTGAATAAACTGAGTGCTCTGACGCATGGAAATTTCAGTGCTTATGACTTGTATGCTTATTATGACCAAGAAACATCAGTGGTGAAAGTAAGACAACTCGACTATCAGCCGCAGACTATAATGTTCGTAAGAAGCATTGATCTTTCATCGAATAACCTCGAGGGTGAAATCCCTGAAGAAATATCCAGCCTCGCTCAACTGCATAACTTGAACTTGTCGATGAACCAATTGAGAGGAAGCATTCCATCAAATATTGGGAACTTGCAGTTGCTCGAAGCTCTTGATCTTTCGATCAACCACCTTTCAGGAGAGATTCCTCAAAGTATTTCACTTCCGACGTTCTTGTCTCACTTGAACTTGTCTTATAACAACTTGACTGGTAGAATTCCTTTGGGCAGCCAGCTTCAGACACTCACGGATCCATCCATTTACGAGGGTAACCCGTCGCTGTGTGGGGTTCCTCTTTCAACCAAGTGTCCCGGAGATGATCACACTCCTACAAAAGACAATGATCATGAAGATGGAAATGATAAGTTTTGGTTCTACATTAGCATGGCACTTGGATTTATCGTAGGTTTTTGGGGTGTCTGTGGCACATTAGTTGTCAAGAAGACATGGAGGTATGCTTATTTTGGATGGTTCGATGCCATTAAAGATAAGGTACTGCTAGCAATTGCAGTGCAAATGGCTCGTTTTCAAAGGAAGTTTTGATTAGAGTAGAAATATGAATGTTGTTCTTGAACTCCGAAAATTTTAAATAACTACAAAATACATGTACTGTGTGATTTTTATTTTTTGTTCTTCCTTGTGTTGGAATTTACGAATGTACTTGCACTGGATGTTTGATGAATAAGTCTGGAATATTGCTAGTATTAAAAAAACATATGATCCTCAATTGCATTGCCAATTGCCTCTCTCTTCTCTCTTCCAAACCCTTTCCACCAAATACTAATTGGTGGGCCAAGACTTCCACGGCTACCCATATCATTCCATAGAAAAATTCGTATTTCTTATTAGTGAATAACAAATAAGAAAACGACGAGTGTAACAATGGCTATTTTATGATACTTCTGGTAGGCTTTCGTTTGGGTGGGCCATGATTGACTATTTTACAATCAGTATTCCCTAATAGTGTGTCACGAACACGGCCTATTACACCCAAATACACCCAAATGAAATAATACAACCGATTGAACACTCGAAATGTATTCATGTTGTAAATGCTATGGTTATGGTCCAGCTATTCTAGTAGACATATTTCCCAACATTTGCAATCTTCGTCAACTTCTGATCCTCGCTCGACCTTAGTCTTCATATGTTAAAGACACAGTGGAGGACATAAGATAACACCTGCAATTGCATTGAAAATGGCTCGTTTCCAAAAGATTTTTTTTCTCTAAGTTTGACGGTACCATGCATATGTAGTGTTTTTTACTTTCTGCTTTGTGTTTTTTGTACTTGCAATCTATGATACAAATAAAGGAACTCTATCTTTCAAAAGATGTTCCCACAGACAATTATGTATTAACCTGGAATTAAATAAAAATTCTAGTTTGTACTTATCAATCGCATAATAATATGTGTGACCATCCAATGTTGCAATTTAACAAAATAACGATTTGTTCATAAAGTACATAAGCGCACGTATATATTCTTCTCTTTTACACTTCAAGAGAAATCAAATACCACTTGTGCTTGCACCAACAATGGTTCTCTAATATCTTCGAGCAATTCGTTTGACGACATTCTTTCTTGAGGTCCGGTAGGAGCATGTCCCTTTTACCATCTGGTTACCATGCCTTTTTTAGCTTGAATTGGTCCTGGCTTCCTTCAGGCTCTACAATGCAACGCATTAAGAGAAATCCGTCTTTCAGCAAGAGTATGCCAATTTCATCACTATGGTTTTTGAAAAAGCATTAAATTGATTACAAACCAGCCGTTTGAAGGATCTACTTTGAGCAGCGTTCTTTCCATCTTCCATGCCGGGTTTAGCACGATCAAGAGCCTGAGGGAAAAAAAAAAAACATGTAGATTTTAAACATTTGTCAATGCAACCGGGTAAAACAGTAGAGAACTTATCTGCCGCACTATAATAGACTAAAGTAAAATGCTGTATTACAGAAAGCAAACTAAGCTCAGACTCAACACAGTTTGTCTCTCCAGTCCCAAAAACCAATCCTCTACATTTGGCTCCGTGTCTTCGCATCATTTTGAGGCTATGAGTTTCCATTTGTGCTATTTCATTTCAGATTGGATTCATTGCAAACCCAAGTAAAAGAATAGCTGTGTTCGATCTCTTTGCTTGTGATACAAAATACTGATCGGTCAAGTTAACAAAACATGTGCATGTACTGAGAGAGGAGGGAGAAGGCGAGGGTGGACGATGGGGAAAAAATTTCCATTTTTCATTCAAGATCTCTTTTCTCAGGGTGAAATCAATTTAAAAATTTTAGAATGTTGGGGTTTTAATATAGAACCACTCAAGATATTATCAAGCAACCGAAGAAATGGAGATACTGTAGCTTAAACTATACTGGAAAGAGAAAATACTACCTCAATCAAAGATTCCACGCGACGTCTCATCCTTGTATGCATAAAACCCTCTGAACACTGCAAAAGAATATGCACAAAAGGAGATTGAGATCAAACATATCAAATGAAGAAATAGATACATATTAATCAGTGATGACATAGTACGCTTCCAAGCAGGAATCATAGTCAGTACGTTATAGACGGACAGAGATGGACAGACAAAAAAGTTGTGCAGGACAAAGACTAATAGCATGAAAAAGTTGGTCCAACATTACTAATAAATGAAGTTTAGGAAAACTGAACGATGGGCTGCAAACAAGAGTAAATTAGACAAAGCAAAAACATATACAACAAAGAAAAAAATCTTACTTCCTGCACATAAGCTACTAACTTATACGATTTCCGGATCATATCATATCCAGTTATCAATAGAAAGTAGTATGACATAATTTGTTGAGTTGATGAGGACAAAGGGTGGAAGTAACAAGTTTAGGGGAAAAAGGTCACCTTAACATGGTAACTAACATAAGCATGAAAAGTTGATAGACTCCAAACTGTTCGATCCAATTTCTTGCCTTCCACGTGACGAGGGAAAATAACTGCATTGGTACACCATACATTTCATTAAAATGAAAAATAAAAAACAAACTGCCCATTTCCCTGACATTACCAAAAGTGACAAATCCTGCATTCGCAGACAGTGCTTCAGTGGGAGCTTCCTTTAGTTCTAAAGGAGGGGTAGGAGACCACAAACAAGGAGGGGCGCTATTAAGTCCAGCCGCACGTCTTGCTTCCACAAATTCCTAAATGGTAATAAAACCATCACACTTAGCAATTAAAACGCATAAAAACAAGAGTATATAGATCCAAGGCAGCATAGCTTGGAGGTAGCAGAGTTCAACAAGCTAGCATTATCTAAGGTATCTAGCAAACCTTGTTAACTTCATCAACATATAATTAATAGACTTCACATTCTCTTCCTGGGTAAAAAATTCATATTTCCAATTTAAGATCATATACTTATCAAACCTGCAAGAAGGAAGTTGCAAGAACAATATCTATAGAGTCCTTGAATCTCATAGGGAACACTACAGTCACTTTGTCTACCTGCCAAAAACATCGCAAGGTTTATCAGAATAAGGTTTCAACCGCAGTCCCTCTACGTAGCTAAAGTGCAAAACATAAAAGCAACAAAGAGCAAAATGATAATTTGTTAGCCTTAATATGCAAGTTTACCTGAGGAATAAGGAAAAAGGACTCGTTTGGTCGGTGCAAAAGAGCGACAAGCCCATCAGTATTGGATGCAACATTCCTTGCACCAAGCTTCTTCAGAACGCCTCGCAATGGAGCACCTAGCACCACTTCTCTTACAGATGCAATCTTTAGCAAAAGAGCATGTCTGTACTCTACGCAAAATCGCATTCACATAACAAAGTGAAAAAAAAAAAAAAAAAAAAAAAAAAGGAAAACTTGGAAGTCAGCCAAAAAAATCAATAGATAAATATATAAAATTGGAATGTATAAGAAAAAGGAACGCCCGAAAGAGGATAATCTAGTAGAATAGAATCTAAAGCAACCCAAATAAAGCGAGACAATGTTCGGTTTTACACCAATGGACCAAGCAGTCCAATAAGGGTTTTATACCGATGAACCAAGCAAGTCCAAGAAGCTAAAGTTATCTGGAAACAAGCCAATCTTGTCTAACAAGCTAAATGCATACTAAAACACAAAAACTTCGAAAAGAATATTAGCAACTAGAAAAAACACCCCGACCACTATTATTCATTGCCTTGACTGGCTTTAACAAGTTCTCATAAATGTTTTGAAAACATATATCCATGGCAATGGCAAGCTTTATAATGACCTTAGAAAAGGAATTCGTTGAACCTTCATCTGGAGGAAGTTTGTTGAGATTGAGCTTCAAGGTAAGATTAAACCCATCTCTTGGGGGGTCAAGAATTTGAACCACCGAGCCATATGCAGCCTTTATAGCCTCTATAGCTCCGGAGGGAAGGCCGCCCACGAACACAGTTTCCGGAGGCGGAGTCGGTAGCGATACCGAAAGCAACAATATATGTGGGTTCTTCATCGTCACCTGCATAAAATCAATGCCATTACACAACCCGTCCAACCAAAACTGTTCAAAATCCGAAATTGAATTCTGGGTTATCACCTGAATGTGGTAGCGAACGTCGTCGAACTCGGCCCAGTGGTAGTCCGCCTCCACCGCCTTCTCGATGCTGCAAAACCATTCAAAAATGAGAGGGTGACAATGAGGAAGAAGAAAAAGAAGAAATAGGACCGTTGAATTGGGAAAAGAAACGAACTTTTGGAGGCGATTGAGCAAGGTGTCGAGGAGAAATCTTGAGTGGGACTGCAACAGAATCATTGGGACTGAATTGGGTTTGAAGATTTGAGGGTTTTTGTGGCGTCTGTGGCCTCTGCTCTCAGTATCTGTGCGTCGGGATAGAGAGCTCAGAAAATGCAGAAATGGCCGAGATGGATCTGCACTTGAGAATTTGACATGGCGTGTCGCTCAGGGAGTCTGCAGTTCCAACAACGTCAAAGTCTTTGGCTTTTACCTTTTTTTTTCCTTCAACTTTTACCTCTCTTTTTTTGCTATTTGGTCCTTTTGGAATTTGGATGCCGGAATGGTACCCTAATTCTTTCCTATATTCGAAATTCCAACCCTCTCTTCTTATCGTTATGCCACTTTGTGCAGTTGCTCTTGGCTTCATATGTCCATGGGACATTCTGTCAAACATTTTCTTTCTTTTAGACATTCTTGTCAAACATTATTTCAAACACATTGCTTTCAATAATTCTGTTATGAATTTACAATAATTTCTACTAAATTAAATCAGATATATAGAATTCAAGCATTTATGAGAACAAAACGCTTGTTATTTTACATAAAATTGTGACATTTCAATTTTCAACATGTGATTATCTATGATTTTGCCGTTTAGTAATAGATCTTATAATGAATTAAATTGTGAAATTTTCACCAATTAGTTACTTGTCTAGTGATATCACCTCTTCTCAATGTCAAAACCTCCACTCTTTTAATTTAAAAAACTTTAAATTTCTGATTTGAGAAAATGATGTAATTTTCCAAAAACTTAGTTAATGGTAAGTTGAAAATGCCTATAAAATTTAGGGACAAACTAGCAGAGCATCCCATCTAAAATAAAGGAGTTTAGGGCAAATTGAGTGAATTTTAGAATTTTAATCACCAAATTAGAAAAAAAAAAAAAGCGAATTTTACACATCTTTTTAATTTTTTACACAATCATATTTAATTTTAATCGTTAATTTTGTTTCATCAATTTAATCTCACGGCCGTAAATAAATAAGGTTGACCAAATTACACATCTTACCAAATTACAAATGGGAGGAAAAGCTTGGTCTTTGAGAGGTGAAAGGAACCGAACAACAATGGAAGGGAGGCGAGTGAGAAGGTTCAGACCAAGATCTCAACCTCACACTCATCGCAGTCTTCTACCCCTTCACTCCCCCGCAAACTCATCTCCGCCGCCTCCTCCTCCCTCGACCACCGTCTCCTGCTGCTACTGCGACTTCAAATTCTGGGCTTTCAACCAACCCCTCTTCCATTTCGGCAAGACCCATTGCCGGATTCTCAGGGCTTGGTTCTCCGTCGGTGTCGGATTCGGTTTAACCTTGCTCTTCTCCGCCTCCCTCCTCCTCATATGGGAGCTCGGCAGAGCTCTCAATCTCTTCCATGGAAGCTTCTTCGTCGACTTGGCAGCGAGATTTTTCTCCTCCTTCGGCACCTCAATCGCCGACGCAGCCTATGTTATCACCGCCACCGTGATTTCAGTCGCTGTCCACGAACTGGGTCATGCTCTCGCGGCCGCAAGGTCTCTCCTTGTCCTGTTTCTTTCTTAGTCCTTACCTTTTATGCATTTGGTGCTTTTTGGGTTTTTGTTTTTGATTATTCTGAAGCGAAACGTAGGCTTGATTGCAAGCAGTGAGTGCCTGCAAATGGAGTATGTTGCTGTGTTCGTTGCGTTTCTGTTTCCCGGTGCTCTGGTGGCTTTCGATTCGGAGTCTCTGCAACAGTTGCCTTGTTTTGCTGCTCTTCGGATTTATTGTGCTGGAATTTGGCACAATGCAGTGGTATGCTTACTTGCGTTTTGGTTATTTATCGAAAGGGTTAATTTGTTTGCAGAATTGAATGCTGATTTGTATTCGAATTTCGCAGTGTTGTGCGGCTTGTGGGTTCGCCTTACTACTCCTGCCCTTCATCTTGTTTCCGTTTTACGTACATGGTGACAGCCCCATGGTACTTCACTGACTACTAGCGTATTGAATTGTATAATGAATTCATGTTATGTTTTTGTGACCATGTCGATATCAAAATGGTCTGAAAGGAATACAATTTTGATCACCTGTTTGTTTCTATATTTTTTGATTGTCTGGAAATAGGTTTTGGGTGTACCTTCTACGTCGCCTTTGTCCGGTTACTTGTCACCTGGTGATGTGATTGTGTCGGTGGATGGTGTACCTATCCATAATGTCCAAGAATGGATGGAGATGACATCTCTGATAAATCAATTGGCACTTGGAGATAGAAACCATTCCGTAGATGTCCCAGGCTTTGGGACAGCCAATAGGAAGGAAGGGGTACTGTGTGCCTAATTCTATGATGGAAGAAAGCAAGCAGATTATCATAGCTGATAACCAGTCTTCTTGTCCCAATGATCTTACTGCATTTACAACTGTTCCCTGTGCTTATGCAAGCATGTTAGGTGATGATCATCCAATTAGAATTGAGAAAGCCCACTGCTTGAATGCCAAGGATGTGATCAAACTTAATAAGTGCGGTGATGGATGGGCGGTGATTATAACAAATGGCAGCAACTGCATATGTTCAGAGGTCGGTATCTTGTTGTTTGCAAAAGATGCAATTTTAGGAATTCAGTTACTTGTTTCAATGCAAATAAATTCAATTTGTTGATGCCTATAGGACGAGTCCTGCTCAAGTCCAATTCCAATTCCAGGCTTGGTATGGGTTGAGGTCACATATTCAAGGCCCTATTCTCTGGAATGCTTGCGAGTTAAAAGAAAATCTTTTGTGGATTCAAGAACATCTGAAGGCATGGAATCTAACTGTGGCGGGACTTTTGTGTTTGTTGGGGACATTATCTTCATGGCACGCTCAGTTCAGTTAACTGCATATCGACCTCGCTGGGCATTTCCCTTGGTTACATATCTTCCAAATGTACTAGAGAGGATTTTGATATGCACATTCCAAGTCTCTCTAACACTTGCCCTTCTCAACAGTTTGCCCGTAAGTTATTTATTTATTTTACTATTGTCTTATTAAGATTTTTCAAGCCTGATCAGAACCCTGCATGACCATGGATATCAAAATTCAATGACCATGCATGCATACTGTCTGGCTTGCAAAGAAATTATTTGAGGAAGGTTTTGTAAGGCCTAGGAACCAATAGTATTTATTCATGTAGATATTGACCTCAAATTCCACATTTCCTCTGTGAAATTACCTCACATGGCTAGCAGTAGGCTTATTTGCTGCTAAGAGCATGGAGATCTATTTGATCAATGCCCTGCTCTTTCTTCCACTCCATAAGCACCAAAAGATATACAAAGATACCATCAATAGAACCTAAGTGTAACCCAGACTTCTCCAAACAGAGAGAAGACAACACAATACCCGTGCTTATCTAATAATGCTTTTAGCCACATCAGATCCATGCAAATATAGACTTTTTTTTTTAATGAAATTAATGGCCTTCCTATCACCCTTAGTCGGCCATAACATTGTAAATTTAGCCTAAAAGATTCCCCAAGAGAAACAAGTTTGGTCTCATATTCTTCCTGTTAAGGTGGTCCTATTCTGTGCAGCCTAAGATGCTGTTAGTTGAGCTTACTTTGAGAATGATCTGGCTGAGGTTGTTCATATACTTGAGGCCAAAATTCATCCCGATGAGCTTGGGCTAAGCCTAGCTCAGTTGTTATAAGCCTGCTCCAACTTTTACCCTGATGAATCCATCAAGCTGACCATGGGCTGACTGTAGCGGTGGCAAAACTAAATGGGTCTCAATGGGTACCCTTTAGCAACCCAATGGGTCGATTTGCCACCTGTAGGCTGAGGTCTTTTTTTGTGGTCTTAGCATGACCAAGCCAGTTCAAGACTAAAGTTTAGTTCTGCTTGTCCCGTGATAGGTTTTGGGATGCTTTAGCCTTTAGTATTGCTATCATGTTCATTCAGTTTAGTACCTCCTAAGTTTGTACAATTTGGGAGTGAATTAATGTTGGCATAGTGTCTATTCAGCTGAACCACTTACATTGTCTCTGGTCGGTACATAAACAACTATACAAGTCATGCTATTTCGTCAGTCATCAAGTGTTTTTTGCTAAAATTATATGTTGTAGGTGTACTTTCTGGATGGAGAATCTATTTTAGAGTCGACTCTTTGTCACTTCGCTTTTCTGTGCCAAAGGAAGAGAAGGAAAGTTCTTCAAGTTTGCCTTTTGATGGGAACACTCGTTTCAGTCCTAGCCTTCTTTAGGATCGCTTTGTATACTTTGTAAGCCATAGGTAAGCAGTGTGATATTTTTTTATTAATGTGAAAACTACTACGTAGCTTTATATATGCTCGTTTTATATTATAGAATGTTGTTTATGTGACATATGAGCTTCAGGATGAATGTAATTCATTATCTATCATGTGACAAAAGTTTGTTACTCAATCTGGACTATAAAATTACATTTGTTACGATACAAGCTGACAAGATAAAGTTACACAGTACACTAACTAGTTGACCTAATGGATTTCTAATGGATGTGGAATTTTGACTGGGTGGATGTGATATGCATTCTTATGAATATTAATTACCAGGGGCAACTTATACTAAGTTTACTTAAGCTTTCAATGTAATTGGAGCATCAACTTCGCCTTGTTTGTAGTCTGTTTACAATGAAATACATGTCGGGAAGGCTATCCTTGTTAGGGTATGTGCCTTCCATTTCTCACTTTTGTTTCTCATTCATATACAGTGACCCTTGGCCTTAGAGAAAGCACGGAGAAGCTCAAAATCCCTGAAGTTGCTGCATGTCCATTTCAATGGCATTATCGATATAGAGAGCAAAACACATTTTCTCTGATGCCTCACACTTTACCTAGAAAGGTTGTGCAGGCTATGAGAAACAAGTTACTGAAGCTGAGCCTTTCCTGATGAATAGTGAGCGGGGGGGCATCAAACCATCGGCTAGCCTTGGTATTCCACTCTAAAACTGATAGCCGCACTTGTTCCATAAAATCCGTAAGTTATGTAGTCTAGAAGATAGATCAAGGTTACTCGGAGGATTTAACTTGTTCAACCGTCTGTGGGATCCTCAATAGAACGAAGAAACGCTGGTGCGTTTGTCATTTTATCTGGGAACAACCCAGTTCAGTTTTGGTGGCTTACGATCAATTTGTACACATAGATCGTAAAACGATTTAAGCTTACTGGTTTTCATTTTTCTGGAACAATATAATGAAGAACCTTGTTTGTACATTCTGGTTGCTTCCAATAAAATCCCAAATTTTATCTGATGCATTTGGAGGCAGAGCCCAAGTTTTCATTTGATGCATGGCTTTGCTTTTATGGATGCAGCTGTGCATTCAGACTTTAACGAGGGCCTTATTTTTTTTGTTTTTTTTTTGGTTTACAGCCTTTGAACGAAATTGATAGAGTTAGTTGATACATTCACAATTTGATCGAAATTTCATGAACGAGAAGATAATTACCGTTAGACTAAGAGTTAGTTGTTAAGTAGGACGTTATTCAGCCAATGGAAGTAAAATAAAGAAGAAGAAAAAGGCCCAAAAGAACATGCCTTTCTCCCAACAAAATGATAAGAGGTATTGGTTTTCAGCCCATCAATGGATCCACCCAGGCAAAAGCAGATGGTGGGAAAAGCTGTAAAGCTGTAGGGGTTGCAAAATGTGGGAATCCAATGAACCTTTTGAAAGATATAAAGAAGGTTGTCAAGTTTTTCAAATCATATAAATATTTAATTATTCATGATTCAAATCATATAAATATTTAATTATTCATGACAGAAGTAGAGATTGTTGTGCTTCTTGTTGTTAAGCCTAAATTTGGTCATCAAGCATGAAAGCAGCAGGCCACTATTCTGGGTTGATACCACCACCTACCTTGGATTTCAACTGTAAAAGATAATGATAAAATAAAACATAAAATAATTACTGAAAAAGAGAGAGAAATTTTAATTTTTTTCCTTTATTGAAGCGATATTCTAATTTAATCAAACCGAGTAATACACTCTGTAATCAAATCCAATAGTAGGGAAAATTGAAAAATGATCGAAACAAACCATATAATAAGGAAAATGATTTTTACAAATCTCTTGTTCATCACATGTACACCTTTTTTTTCCAGCAACTGTGTTGAACAATCAAAAGAGAACGAAGGACCAACATTAAGAAGGGTGTAGAAATGAAAAACGACGAGGACAATTACTCCCTAATACAAAAAGTGCACGTGGATTCATTGTAAGGATGCTGAGTGGTTTCACCCCATTGGACCTAAGACTATTTACTCACTAAACATCTTAAGGGTCACCATCAAGTTGATTAATATAGGCATGCATTCTGGATAAGGCTTTTACATTTGCTGCACTCATCTGTCCCTCTTTACACGTGAAGGGGTTTTAGACTTTCAATAGGCTCAAAGGAGATTTCCTTTCTTCAACCTTCTGTTTCCATTCCGACCCCAATAATTATTTAAAATTTGACAAAACCACCTAACTTTAACTGCCAACTTTATAGTTTTTTTTGCAATTACTTTTATATTTCGATCAGTTTATATGTGCATATTTCACACAGAGCCGGATGGAATCCGAGGAGGACCTATTGGTATGAATTTTTAAAGGTATTGTGGTCCAGTACTTAATCATGCTCCTTACTAGACCTCCCCTCAGATCAATTAACAATTGATTCGTATCTTAATTTTGTATGATCAGTTACTTTTTAACTTATTTTATAGGTTAATAACTTGGCGGTTTTTCGCAACAATACTAAATCAATTAACCCTAATGGTGACAAGTGATGACATGTAATCTTAGTTAATGTAATCCGAAAATAACGGCTTATAATTTTGCCAGACAATTAAACACATTGTGGTGTTAAACGACTTAAACTGATAATGTCGCTTAACTTGACAAACTAACAAAAATGTATAGAACGAGATAACTAATTGGTTATCTCGAAAGATTTAAGTTAATAGGTAATGAATCGAGTTGTGTATGTCAAATTTACAGACAAACGATGATTGAGCCATTAATTATGGGAAAGATGGACAAAGTTTCGAAATTTCGTGCTTATATCAAGCATCCTTAAAATTGCGTGCCCGGATTAAGTTGGTGGGAAGGCATTGCGTTTGCTTTTATCATGACATGTTCTGGCACTTTAACTTCCATAACTACCGTAACTTCCCCACCAACCATCACATGCAACAGCCTTCCATTATTTGTATGGGGTCTTTGAGATTTGACTTCCTTTCCCCTCAAATGTCTCTCGCCCGCCCTACGCACAGAGTATCAATAAATCAACATGTTGGAGAGAGGAGAGGCCCCAACTATCATACACCAAATCTGTGTTTATTATTTTGTATAAGGTCATTGTCGGTTAGGTGCTTACCTCTGTTTTACCTAATCACATTTCTTTTATATGTGTTTATCAAGGTTTTAGACTTAATCAATACAGTAAATTTTCAACTACATTCTTATGCGGAAATAGAAATCTAGACGCTTAAAAAACACATCTTTAGTCATCTAGTATTCAGTACTAGATACTATCAACATTATTTTAATTAAGTAAAATTCAACGACTATCAGATAATAAGTGATTATTGACACTTATTATATATAATTCCTCTCATAATATGTAGGTTATGATATCAATATCAATGAAACGACTAGCTAGTATCATTGAATCAGAAGGCTTTGGTGAATCACTGCCACGTACGTTGTCGGCATGTTACCCATTTGACTAGGTAGCAGATGTAACATGCACTCACATGGTCCTTCATATGGAGCTAAATATATAGAGATATGCAAGCAGTAGTACGCTATCACCATCATTCATACCTGCCTTCTGGAACAGTTCTAATATATGATCTCTCTCTCTCTCTCTCTCTCTCTCTTTCCCTAGATCTCTCTCTCCCCCATGTGTTCCTCTATGTTATTACAAGAATCATATCACTTTTGTTTTGGTTTCAAAATCCCGAATTAAAAGTAGGGTTTCATGATTCCCCAAGTAACTACTTGATTGATTTGAAAACGGGGAAGGCATATATATGTGGTCTTCATCATCATTTTTCCGCTTCCAAGCTGCCACGTACTTTGGATCCTTAATTTTCATCATATCATGAACCAAACATGTTAGTACTCACTATAATAATTTTATAATATGTATATTTATTATACGTTTTAAGTATAAAAAAAAACTACCTAATTTTATAGTATGTATATAAGTAATTTTCAGATAACATTTTGAAAATTGGTCATTTGGTAGGTTATTGGAAATTTTACCAACAGTAAGTGATGATGTTAGTAACATTAAATGATGAGAAGGACAAATATTAAAAGTTGATTTTCACTAATCGACGTTTTTGGAGTTCTAATCCTCCAAATTAACCCATTTTAGCCAAGTTAAACCATAAATTTACGTAGTTAAAGGACGTCAATTTGGAGATTCAAATCTCTATAGATGACTTGAGAGTTTAAACATGTTTAATATTTATCTATGTTATCACTAAACGTAAGTGAACCTAATAGACATCCATTTTTCAAAACTTTAGGTAGTTATTTGGAATGTTTTTAAAGGTGAGGACCAATTTAGAATTACTCCTAAAAGTTAGATAGTTATCCGGACTTAACATTTATTATATTATTATTTTTCCATCGAACACTAGTGTTACCCACACACCCCTCTCAATTTTCGGCTATTGAATCAAATGAATTGAAGAAGATAGTTAACAAGGGTGTGTAGAAGGTAAAAATAGGTGTGTGAATAGCACTATCATTCAACATATTATGTTAACAAATTAATAGGTTGACAACATAAAATACTAAATACAGTGCAAATATACATGTATATATATGTATATATCTTCCTTTTAAATCATTATTTCATTTGGGTTGTGATTTTCACACACCCTTAACTACTCTTTCCACACCCATTCCTATTTTTTAATACTTAATTGGTATTCTACTATTTAATCTTCCATATATACCCTTCCTACTTTTTGATGGTAATTAATGAAAGATTAAATAGGGAGGGGTATATATGGAAGATTAAATAGTAGGATACAAATTGAGTATTAAAAAAATATGGAGGGGTGTGGGAAAAGTAGTTAATTGTAACATCCCACATCGCCCATGGGAGTGATCCTTATATGTATATTCTCATCTCTACCTAGCACGAGGCCTTTTGGGAGCTCAGTGGCTTCGGGTTCCGTAGGAACTCCGAAGTTAAGCGAGAAGGGGGCTTGAGCAATTCCATGATGGCTGACCCACTAGGAAATTGCTCGTGAGTTCCCAAAAACAGAACTGTGAAGGAATGGTAAGCCCAAAGCGGACAATATCGTGTTACGGTGGTGGAGCGGGCCCGAGAAATGATCAGCCCCGGTCCGGGATGTGACATTTGGTATCAGAGCCTAACCCTGGTCGTGGTGTGCCGACGAGGACGTCGGGCCCCTAAGGGGGGTGGATTGTGACATCCCACATCGCCCAGGGGAGTGATCCTTATATGTATATTCCCATTCCTACCTAGCACGAGGCCTTTTGGGAGCTCACTGGCTTCGAGTTCCGTAGGAACTCCGAAGTTAAGCGAGAAAGGGGCTAGAGCAATCCCATGATGGGTGACCCACTGGGAAGTTGCTCGTGAGTTCCCAAAAACAAAACTGTGAGGGAATGGTAAGCCCAAAGCGGACAATATCGTGCTACAATGGTGAAGCGTGCTCGGGAAGTGATCTGCCTCGAGCCGGGATGTGACAATTTGGTATCAGAGCCTAACCCTGGTCGCGTATGTGCCTACGAGGACGTCGGGCCCCTAAGGGGGGTGGATTGTGACATCCCACATCGCCCAGGGGAGTGATCCTTATATGTATATTCTCATCTCTACCTAGCACGAGGCCTTTTGGGAGCTCACTGGCTTCGGGTTCCGTAGGAACTCTGAAGTTAAGCGAGAAGGGGGCTTGAGCAATCCCATGATGGGTGACTCACTGGAAAGTTGCTCGTGAGTTCCCAAAAACAAAACTGTGAGGGAATGGTAAGCCAAAAGCGGACAATATCGTGCTACGGTGGTGGAGCGGGCCCGGGAAGTGATCCGTCCCGGGCCGGGATGTGACATTAAGGGTGTGTGAAAATCACAACCCTTTCATTTACCTCAAGATATAACAAGATGACAATTTGTTTTTTTGGGAAAATTAGGTTCACATCCTTCTTTTTGTTACTCCATTAATTAAAATCCTATTCATTTTTAATTTTTGATCAAGGTCCTTGGGTATTAATAACATCATTAATTAT